ACCCGTAAAAGGGCTGATAATAAATAGTATGTTCCAACTAAAGATTAGGAGTTTCTGTTTTCTGATCCCTGTCCCAACACCCTAGATGTCAAGACTGTAAATGGATATGTAAGGCAGCACCATGCTAAATCAATGCCATAGAATAAAGGTCAGAAGTGTCTCAATTTATTTGCTCGCAAATTATATTTGTGTGAGACACTGCAGTTTAGGATCTCTGACTATTAGGCATTGATGTTGAAATATAATCATGCCCACTACTCAAAGTTCAATTTATTTATTGAGCATTTACCACCAGAGCAGAGGACCAATTCCAGGCAATCATGACAGAGAGTCAGCTCCTCACCAGAACATCTCTGCAGTCCTCTCTGGATGCCACTGACATAGCTGCTTGCTCTATTTCTATGGCTGTAGTCATGAGAAGGGCCTCCTGGCTTCAGCTATCAGGATTTCTGAGGGAGGTTCAAAATACAGTTGATGACCTTCCCTTTGATGGCTTAAAATTGTTTGCAGAAAATACAGACGAGTCTCTTCATATATTAAAAGACTCCAGGGCCACTTTGCGGTCTCTGGGAATTTACATGCCTGCACATAAAAGGAAATCTAGTAAGTCCTAGACAGCACAGAGATCTTGTTCTGCTCAATTCTTTGGCTCCCAGAGACCTTATGAACCCTAGCAAAAGAGGCAGAGGTTTCAGAAAAGGAGACCATCTGAGACACAGACATCAGCCTTGCAACCCTCATTGCCAAAACACCAATTTTGTTGGGGTTATTGAGTTACCCTCCCCCCTTTTTCCTTACCAGCTGCAATGGTTCACAGCCAGTCCCCAAGGCAAGGAAGACATTTCTCACTTCTGACAAGCTTGGGAGCATATCACTATGGACATAGGGTTTTGGAGATCGTATCAGCAGGATACTCCATCCACTTTGCTTCTCTCCCTCCATCCAACCCCCCTTCCCTTTCTCTCTTCAGGGATTCCTTTCATAAATGCCTTTTAAAGCAGGAAATAGAGTCCCTCCTGAACCTTAGCAGTACAGAATCAGTTGGGAATGAGATTTATTCCAGGTACTTCCTGGTTATAAAAAAGAACAGCGGGTGGAGACCCATTCTAGATCTAAGGCTCCTCAACAGGTTTGTGAAGATACAGAAGTTCAAAATGGTAACACTTGCAGCAATAATACCATCATTTGATCTAGGGGATTGGTTCTCAGCCCTCAACCTACAAGATGCATGTTTCCATATAACGACCCACCTCTCCCACAGAAGGTCCCTATGTTTCACTCTAGGTCAAAACCACTTTCAATACAGAGTGCTTCCCTTCAGACTCTCTTTTGCTCCCAGAGTGTTTTCGAAGTTCTGTCAGTGGTAGCGGTTTACCTTCACAGAGGAGGAATCCCAGTATTCCCATACCTTAATGATTGGCTGCTAAAGGTTTGCTCCTACAGTGAGACCTAAGTGGCCCCTCAGAAGGCCACAGAACTGTTTCTCAGCCTGAGACTGCAGTTCAACATTCAGAAGTCCACCTTGGTCCCAGTCCAAAGCTTGGCATTCATAGGAATCTGCCTCAATACAGTAGCCACCAAAGCCTTCCTCCCAACACAGAGGTTTACCACCCTATTGAATTTAGTCTTTATAGTCCAAATCAGCTCTCAGACACTGGTTAAAAACTGTCTTCAGTTGTTGGGGCTTATGGCAACTGGGACTTTTGTGATAAACCATACAAGGTTGCAGATGTGCTGCAGAACTGTTTATTTGGCAGGCAAACACAGCTTGTACAAACTACTCTCAGTTCCTACTGTTCCTACTGGAAAGACCCTCACAACATTTGCGCAGGAATCTCCTTCACTCAACCATTCCTAATGATGATGATAACATAAGAACAGCTGTACTGGGTCAGACCAAAGGTCCATCTAGCCCAGTATCCTGTCTACCGACAGTGGCCAATGCCAGGTGCCCCAGAGGGAGTGAACCTAACAGGTAATGATCAAGTGATCTCTCTCCTGCCATCCATCTCCACCCTCTGACAAACAAACAGAGTCTAGGGACACCAGAGGCATCTCTTTTGGGATGGTAACCCATCTGGATACATTGCTCAAGGCAGGTGGTCATCTCACGAGAGCATTCTGCACATCACCTTGCTGGAACTTAGAGTGGTCAGCAATGACAGTCTTCATTTTATGCCATTGATCAGGGGAAATATGTGAAGATCATGACAGACAATATGTCATGCATGTTTTATATCAACCATCAAGGAGGAGTGAGTACCCCCAGTTCTGCTTGACAGGCGGTCTGGAATGCCATTCCTTGGGGGAGGTGCCTTTCTCCTTGGTTGGACGTTGGGTCTGTTGTATGCATTTCCTCCAACTCCTCTAAAATCCAAGGTGTGATCAAGATAAGGAGACAAGGTCAGAGTTATTCTGGTGACTCTAACTTGGCTAAGACAGATGTGGTTTCTTACCTCGTCCAGTTGGATGCTTGTCAACCAATTACCCTTCAGGCAGTCCCTCATCTTCTCTCTCAGGTCAAATTTTTCACCCCATCCTCAGGGTTCTTTGCCTCAAAGCATGGATGATTGATGTCTCCTGGGGTTAGAAACAATGTGTTCTGAGGAAAAAAGAAGAGTATTTTTACGTAGTAGGAAGAAGTCTCCCCATAATACTTAGCTACAAAAGTGAATGAGATTCAGTCACCGGTGTGACCTAAAACACCTTTCATCTGCATCCTCATCACTGTACGATATACTAGATTACACCCTAGACCTGAAAAAGTCAGGGTTGTCTTTGAATTCCATTAGAGTACATTTGGCAGCTATTACAGCCTTCCATTTCCCGGTAGAGAGTTTTTCAGTGTTTGCACATCAGAAGATAGTGATATTTCTCAAGGGGCTGGGGAATATTTTTCTATGAGTCACATGTCCTATCCCAGTTTGGGACCTCAACTTGGTGCTTAGATGCCTTACGAGACCTCCCTTTGAGCCACTGGTGACCTGTTCTCTTCTTGACTTATCTATGAAAACAGCCTTCCTGATAGCCATTACTTTTGCTCTGCGTTGGGGAGATAAAGGCTCTGATGGCATATCCCCACTTTACAGTATTTTTCAAGGACAGGTCACATTGCGACCACATCCCTAATTATTACGGATGTCCTCTGATTTGCACATTAATCAGTCTATTGATCTTCCAGTTTTCTCTCTTAAACTACACCTGAATCAGGAGAATGCATTATTACATACACTCGATGTCAGAAGGTCATTAGACTTTTAGTTGGCCAGGACTAAGCCATTTAGAAAATCTCCTAGATTGTTTGTGTCCATTGTGGACGGATCTAAGGGATCTCCAATTTCCAAGCAAATTCTCTCTAGATGGACATCTGACTGCATTACCTTTTGTTATGAGTCTCATGATCTCTAAGCTCATTCAAGAGTACTAACCCATTCAATAAGATCTTTCTACTTCAGTTGCCTTTCTTAAGAACGTTCCCATTGCTGAAATATGTAGTGCCACAACTGGGACCTCCATACTCACCTTTTCTAAACATTATGCAATAATTAATGACTTAGCTTCTGATGCTATGTTTGGCTCTACTGTATTATCTTCAATTTTGGACTTGACTGTGAAGCACCTCCTCCCCCATCCTTAGAGGGTACTGTTCAGTAGTCACCTGAAGAGGAGCAATCATAGGGACACGACTCGAAGAAGGAGAGGTTACTCACCCTATGCAATAACTGTAGTTCTTCGAGATGTATGTCTGTATGGGTGCTCCACTCTGCTATGGAGCATTCCAGTAGGAAAGGAACTGAGGGGGTCACCCACGCAGCTCTAAATAGCCACGTTGCAGAGCACAAGGCAGAGTAGAGTGTATGTTGGGCCGAACAGGCACTGCTACCTAAAATCTCCAATCAAAGGCTCATGGAACACATATGCACCTGAAATGAAACATCCTTAGGGACACACATCTCAAAAAATTAGTTACTGCATGGGGTGAATAACCTCTCCTTTGGGGTTTGTTTAGAATTTAATGAAACCATAGAGAGAGATACTAGATTAGGTGCTAAAATACAATGGAGATGAGCACAGAATAAAAATCTAGATAGATAGGGACTGACAGCACTGGATCCACCTTGAAGTCTTCTATCCGTAGCCGAAGTACACCACCCACGACAGCAGTGCAACCTTCTTCCACACTGCCCAACTAATCTAGCTCAATCCTGATCTACAGGAACCATCTCAAGGGATGAGAGGATAGCTTGTTCTTCATCACCATTCATTCCTCCCCAGATTGAGAGCAAGGTTGCCAGATAGATCCATTTGTGGCTTTATAAAATAGATGTTTGTTTACAGGAAGCTGGACCGAGACAATAAAAGTTATTGCACATAGTATCGTTTTTATGCTTGGTATTTCAAAGCAAAATCACACAAAGATTGTAAACTGTCACTGAATATTTTTGTCATAAAATATTTATTTAAAAGAGACCATGTGATTTTTAACAGAAATATACACACAAATGCTGTATTGTTAGAGATTAGCCATCTGGACTTCATAATCCAGCAGGTAAACAAATGGCCCAGGATCTGTGGCAGCTCTCAGGTTATTATTGATCATAACAACATTAACATTTCTGGAGGTATCTCTTTGCTTCATCACATTTCAAAGTCTCTGCTCATTTTGTTTTCACGTGTTTAAATATTTATTTTGACCTTTTGCCTCCTGGTATAGCCTCCTGGCTTGCTGGACCATCCAAACCAAAATACACCAATGTGATCTTAATGGCCTCACTGATTATATAAACATGCTAAATAAACAGTTCACACAGAATGAAAGACCGAGTCCTTAGTAATATTGTGGTGACTTTTATCCATTTTAAATTGTCCATACAGGTAGAAGCCGCTTTGTGATGTACCAGCTGGTTTTCAAGATCTCTCACCTTAAATCATTGCCTGCATCTAAATTTGTGGTGATCATTCATATAAAAACAGAAATGCATTATCTCTTTTGTTTGTAGGTGCTGCTGGAGTATCACCTGGTCTTCTTGGCTTATTGCTGCCTGCCATTGGTGTCCTTGCCTACTTAGAATTCTGAATGTCTCTGGATTTATCTTGTCCTCAGCCCAGTGTAAAGGACACCCTTCAAACCTGTGAGGACTACTATTCTTTTTGACTCCTGGCACCATCTTAAGCCAAATAAATTACACTTTAAAAAATTACCCTACTGATTTACTATGAACTTTAAGAGGATTGAGGCATCTAGGAACTCCTCCATCAAGCGAATCTACTTTTGAAAGGATAAGAAATGATTTTTAACTTGTTCCGATATGCCTTATAAAACACTTATGCTGATTTGTGACAGTTGCATGATTTGGTCCAATGGGGCAAGTTACAGTGTTAAAATCCAATAACATAGGCTGTACAGTGAAAGTAAAATCACCATACATAGGTGCTTTAACTTGAATAACAAATTGTGAAATATAATAGAGATTGAAATGTTGATTGTGTGTGGTAAATGTAAGAGTAATTACGTCTGTCTGTACTATCCTATATGTTTTGTGTACTGCATATTTTTGAATGGCCCTACTATCATTTATGAGATTTCAGGTTTTTAGGGATACAGTCAAAGCAAAGACATTGAATTCATTTTTAGAGCTTTTTTTCTTGAAGCAATTGAATATACTTTGGGAGCATTTGAGCATACTGGGTTCCATTACAAGGAATTTTTATTTTAGATGCATTTGGGAGTTTAATTTTGAATATTAACAGCAAAATTGAATTATAAGGATTTTCCAGTCCTTTACTTCCTATAACACAACATTTAAAAAAAATGCTCCTCAAACAAATTGTGATTTTCTTAATTAGTAATAGATTATTTCAATTTTATCATGCAAAGAACATCAGTGGCAGCATATACAGCTTGATACCATTTCTTTTACTCTGTTCAGGAATTATTGTTTAAATAATTCAGTCATCGCTGATTTTAAGTGTGAAATTCTGGCTTTTATACAAGCAGCATAATTGCCCCTCCTCGCTCAAGATATTGGAACAGCATGTTAAAAGTTTGAAAATGGAGGCCAGTATAGGATCAGCCACTGGAACATCAAACAATAGAATGTTTAAGTTGTGTTTTAAAACATTTATAATAATAAGCTAAAACATATACAGTAAAATGGCAAAAAGAAAGTAGCACGGTAACAAAAAATTATTCTGATTACTTTTTTATGCTGCAGATTCAAGTTTTTATTTTTCTTTAGTGAAGCCCTGCAGTTGGAAGAATATGCTTTTTTTTTTTCAATAGCTCGATATTATTCTACTATTCCTAGTGCTGTAAATAAGAGTTTAAAAGTTCTTAGACTATTTCCCTGTGTGATATAATGCTGAAAGTTATGAAGATGTTAAATGAAAGGCAGATCCCAGCTGGTCTGATTCTAAATGTCAACTATGGCTTTTGCAAAAATGGAAGTCTAATAGGAGATAGAGAATGTTTTTGCTCTGACTGTGTCTACACTGTTTCAGTGGTTTTTTTAAAGTTGTTAAAGAAGTGCATATTTCTTTCTTTTTCCATGGTGTGCTGAGAACTTAGTCTGAGTGTGAATGTTGAAGAAAAACGGTGATATTGAATCAGCTGGCTCAAGTAATAGTGCAATGTCTGATGCTTCAAGAATTATAAGCTTTGAATCATATTTTATTAGCACAACCTTGCTAGCTATTTAGAGATAGAGTTTATCTTTTTAGAACGGATACTGTAGAGGTCCATAATAATACTATTTACATGAAGCAAGAATAGGCCTATTAATACTTTACACCCCTTTCTTTAATTTGTATGATTTTGTACTATATATTTACCTGTAAAAGTTTAGAGTCTTCATTAAGAAATATCAATAATACTGTTCTAGTTTAATTCTTTGTTCCAAGATGAAACTTTTTTAAATAGGTGAAAGTGATAACTTCCCTATAGAGGAATGTCAAAAGTTATAAGAGCTCTCCTGAATTTCATAAACTGTATAGTTATTTGAAAGAAAAATGAGCTGTTTTCATGCGTAACAGAAACTAATACTCTGTAAGCCTTCTGTACAAAAGATTGTTTTATTTTGTTTTGTTTTTTATGCAGTATGACTCATTTTTATATAATGTACAACCACAACTAAATCTTTTGCCAAATGCATGATTGCCTTTTGCTTTTCTAATGTGTGATATAAGGAGCAAAACTGTTTAATTTTTGGATGAAAACGATCTGGAAGGTAAAACCACTTTTTTTTTAAAATCTGTAACACAGATGAGCTAGATTACAACATCTCACATACTGATCTGGTAATTCCAGATTTTTATTGTTTTACACAACTGTGTAAACTGGGACCTTCAGTTTCAAACTGCTGTCAACAAAACTAACTAATGTATCATCTGCTTTAAAACGCAAGGTTCATAATTAAAGTTTAGATAGACACATTTGTTGTTTCTTTATAGTTCAGGAAACTTGATATTAATACTACTTAATACTGATGAATTTTGAATTTGTTTTAGTTACTCTTTATCTTATTTTATTTTAATTTAGTAGAGCAGGACCATGCTTTGTCCTTTTTAAGAATGAAAAATAAATTATAATTAAATAAATGTATTAATGTTACTCAAGATGTAAAAGCTGTCTTTTGAATTTAACAGGAGATTTAAAAACCCAGCGGCTCTTTATTGGTTTGCTTAGGGGAAAATGGTGTGAAGAAACACCATTTTCACAGCTTTAATAACAGAAAGATTCTATTGTGAAATATTTTTGGAGCATCACCGAAGGGTTAACCAAGAAGAACAGCTGTGATCAGTAATGTTTCCCATTTAAACAGATTTATTACCAAGAGATCTATTTTCTAAAGCTGATCAAAAGGAGCCAAGTTTGGCACTGATGTACACCTTGTGCAATCCCATTGATTTCAAGAGGCAGTATCAGATGTAAGGGCTTCATCTGGTGAGATGCTAAGTGCCTCTTGAGAGGCAAATTCAGCATCTCAATGGGTTTGAATTAATATCACTAAATGTGGCAATAGGAGAAGTAGCACCTCTGTTAATGAAACTGGTGGTCATCTTGCAAATTTTTGTTCCTTTTTCTGTTCTTGCAACTGCTGGGAGTTCTGCACTTCCAACAAAGAAAGTAGGAGTCTGTCAGAGAAGAGTGTTCTTAACCTTTGTACAGTGAAATAGAAAATAATCTCCAATCGATCCAGTGTAAAATATGAACAGATCACTAATACATACAGTAATTATTTCTTTGTGAAATAATGAGCAAAGGAGTATCCATATTGTCAGCCTGATGGTATACATCAAGACAAGATCAAAGCTGCAGTCAGAGATACCGGGAACAGAAGGCTTCCATTGCTCTTGTTTGGGAAGTACTGTAATTTTTGTCCTGATTTTTCTTGGTTCTCCAGACTTCTGGGCTTGTGGCAATAGACAAGGAAAACCTTCATACTCCAACAGTATTGAAAGTCTGTGACTCAAGATCTGATGTTTCTAGCTTGATTGTGTCATGTCTTATTTCTTATTGGAAGTATCATTAAAATAACAACACCAGGTATTACACAGATGTTTCAATGAAGCTTTTGAAAGTTCCAAATATTTTTTTTTAATTCTGCTTTGGAATTTCTGTTTCAACTCACTGTAAAAACTCTGATTAAGGAGATTTTTCTGTAACTGTGTAAGGAAGGAGTAAAAAATACTGCAATTTTCAGCAGTTGTGTGTCCTATAACCTACATTTCACCTTTCATATAGGCCTTTCAGTGGAACTACTCTACCTGTGCTAGGCTATCAAAACCACAACAGAACCTTCCATTCAGGGCCAGCTCTGGCTTTTTTGCCGCTCCAAGCAAAAAAAAAATAAAAAAAATCGGGGCGGTGAGAACGGCAAAGCAGGAAAAAAAAACAACCTGCGGGGTGGCCGGAGCCAGGGTGCAGGGGGACTCCCTGCGCTGCAGACGTGCCCTGGCTAGTGGGGGGGAGGGAAAGGAAGAGGGGGAGAGAGAGAAAGGGAGCGGCCAGGGCTTCACTGGGGCGCTCGCCACGCGGCCCCGACCGCCGCACCGCCTGCCGGGAGGGCTCCGCGCCATTCCGGTTGGCGGGGAGGGAAGGACGTGGGCTGCCTTGCTGGGCTTGCTACAGACCTGGCACCGGCTGGGGCAGACGGAGCGCGCAGCCTGCTCCCAGCAGGGCGCTCCCCTCCTCCTTGCCACTGCCCCGTACAGGGTGGCCGGATCGGCGAACAAAAACAAAAACAAAAACAAAAAAAGCGGCCGTGCCGCCTTAGGATTGGGCGGAATGCCGCCCCGTAGAATCTGCCGCCCCAAGCACGAGCTTGTTCGGCTGGTGCCTGGAGCCGGCCCTGCTTCCACTTTATTCAGACAGCAGGAATAACTAACACAAACTGCCTGGTCACCTCCCTCAGATTATTTCTCCAATGATGCTTGAGTCCTCTTTTCTTTCTCTGCTGGTACTTCCCCAGCTGTGTCATACAGCATTTCTTTTCATTTTTCAAGAATACATAGGAAAAAGGGAATCACAAAAAGGGCCATGACTTACATAGACAAAACATGAAAATCTAAAAATGCCTTCCATATTTCATTAGAAAGGGTGCATTTTTTTTCTATTCAATGTATGCTTTTTTTATTTTTGTTTTTATTTCCCTGTATCCAGTCTGATCAAGCCTGGCCTAAAGGATGTCTTGAAAATCCCCATGAAAATGTCTCCCCTACTTCAAGTGGTGATGACTCTGGTCCCTTTTTTTGGATAATATGGTGTGACTGACAAACCCTGGAGATTATGCCAATCCCTTCCCCCAGACACCACCTAAGAGACACTCCTATTTAGCAACTCCTATTGAGTGATTGTACCCAAGCTTCACTGAACTGGGGAAAAACAGACACCTGTCTTCTCCGCTCTTTGGTCTGCAATGCTGCTACCACATCTCTTGACCAGCTACATGTTACAGCCTAGTTTTCAGAAGATTCAGTTAGTGTTTAAGGCCCACTGGTAATATTCATTTTAACTCTTTTTAAAATATGTTACTTATAGAGCTGGGCCAAAAATGGAACCATTGATTCCAAGCCTTCACAACTTAGAGGTTCCAATAACATGGTACCCAAGGCCAAACCAAACCCAACACTGATTTTGTCCAGTTACAGTTTGTAAAATACACCTTTTACAATATATGTGTATTGAATTCTACAGCTAAAGGGATCATGACAGGGCTTGTTATTTTTATAGGTTAATTTTTTTCTAACTTTTGTTACTAAAAATCCCATTAGAAGATTAAAACTCCTATCTGTCTCATTACAAAAAGCTTTCTCCTTCCACCTCCTGTTCCCATTGATTTGCTATTGAATGTTGTTCAAGAGACTGAGCATGGCTTAAGAGTACCTCCTCAGACATCACTATACGTTACCCTGGCTGAGAAATATCAGAGAAGAGAATAAGGAGTCAAACATTCCCCAGCACCACAGCTGGCTGATAGCTCAGCCATGAAGCACCCACTACAGCTGAAAACAACCCCCTATCTACAGGTAGTCTGAGGATTGGAGTTAACATAGCTTCCTGCAATCAATCCTCCACCTCCCTCCCCATCTAACACATAATATTTGGAGGGGAGGGGCTCTGACTGAGCCTCTCAGCCCCAAGATGCAGCTATTGCAGAGTTATTAGAAAGCCACTGGTAGCCTCCACAGGATTGGGATGGGGGGAGACCGTATTCACAGAAGCCCAGTGAGCTCATTTGCATGTACTACTTACCCACTTCTAGGACTCCACCAAAGAGAGGCTGAGCAGACACTCCTTGTCCCACCATTTTGACCTAGCTATGCCTAGTTTATTCACACTGGTGCAGAGCTCCTCTGCACTTTGCCTCCACGCTTCATTTGTTGTTTGCGTCTGCTAATTTTTTAAATTTTTTTATTTGACAACTGAACACCTTGACTATGCTTATTACTGAAATTCTCTAACAAATAGTATTTGTACTTATAGGGAGACTTTAAATTATCTCTGTGATGGTGGCTAAATCAGCATCCCCATTACACAGATGGGAGACTGAGGCATGACACGTTGTGGCGAACCCCAGTGTCCTAACTCTGTTTCTTCCTGTAACTGTTAGGCCACATTGCCACCCTCTAATGAAAGTGCACACACTGACTTCATGCAGGGTTGTTCCCTCAAATAATTGATTCCTGTGGCACATTTTATAGAAAGAACAAAATCCAGTACTAACAGTATAACAGATTGATATCAGATTGTTTTCCTTCCGCACTCTAAACCTGTTTCCACATTATTATGCAGGTTACAAATGTACAAAATAGGTTTCAATTTCAGAGAGATAAGCAGGATGTGTACATGCAAAGCTATTTGAAAAGGGATTTTGCTGATGCAGCAGAGCTCTTATGCTTAGTAATTAAACTACCCAGAGTTATCCTGTGTCCTTCTGTAGAAATTATGTTCATGAAATTGTGTTGACTCAACACAACAAGTTTTCTGTGCTGTCTGGGTCAGTGCAGGAAGTCAACAGTTTTCCATTATAAATCTGCATTCTTCAGTAAGAACTCCTGTATGACAGCACTGCGATAAATACAGTTCTTTATTGAACCATGTCACCTGAAGAGTAACGTGTTCCAGAGTTCTCAACATATGGTAGGTCCTCCGTGGATTGTCGTATAGCTTAAAGAAGAGGCAGAATCCAGCCAAGTACTCCATGAAGCTAGCCTTTAATCTTTGTCAAAACAGGTTATAATCCTACCGCTGGTATTTGAAATGACAAGTCACTTCCTAGAGAAAATATTCTGCTTCTCATTGGAAGAAGAGATTGTTTTCTGTTGAGCTGGCACTTTAACTGATGTATTGAATATAACACATTGAGAAAAGTGAAACTTGAGTAGCCAACCATTGGCTGAGCTCTGAAAAGAAGCTTTTTTGTCCTACCCAATAAGTTCAGCATGCAATTGAACATTCCCACAATGACCTGCCTTCTAAAGGAAGGACTTGTAAAGCCCATAATGTATAGCTCTTCGATATATGCCATTCACATCATCACTCCCAAAGCTGTTGTATGATACTATGGTTAATGCTGGCAAAGATACAGTGTGCTGAAGCTGAGATTATGTCTACTTTGACTTTAAACTTTAAGACCTTTTAGCAAATGTTATTGTTTGGAGCCGATCCAAACTAATGGGAGGTGGGGGGGATGATAAAATGAATACATTGTATAAGCATGTAAATGTGTGAATCATGTCTGGATCTGGGCTCACAAGTGAAAGCATCTGAATGAATCTGACAAAAGCAGTAAGAGAAAAGGTAAGCTCCACATTCTGCTTTGTGGTGGTTTTTGAACACCCACTTTAAGCTTTGCGGCACTGACTACTGGAGCCAAGAGCAACATAGAAATTGGCTGCACCTTGCCGTGCTCGGCCAAAGTTTCCATCATTCAAGTTGGGGCACAGTGGTTTCGCTTTACTGCAGATGGTGGTGATAATTCACAACAGAGTGCAACAGAAGTGAGGAAAGAACACTTCTTATAACGAGTCATGGAGTGAG